CTTTCATTTAGCTCCATTTTGCTTTGATTCTGATTTCATTTTGTTCCCGAGAGCGTCTGCGAAGGGCTCTTCGTAAAAACATCTGCAGAACTACACCTCCTCTACATCTTCACATCTTCACCTCTGTACAATCACGTTGTCACCTCTATCTCTGCTCATCTTCACATCTGCACATCCTCACATCTACATCTCAGCTCATCTTCACCTTCACACATCTACATCTCTGCTCATCTTCACATCTGCGCGTCTACATCTCTGCTCATCTTCACATCCTCATATCTACATCTCACATCCTCGCCTCTCGCTCTTCTTAACTTTCTCTCTTAAGGCCGGGGGCAGTGCCGCCGGACCGCCGCGAAACGCAACCCTCTGCGGAGATCGTGCGTGTCGAGCGCGCGAAATGCAAGCGAGAGTGCGATTTGTCTCTGCCGCGGGCAACCCTCTGCGGAGATCGTGCGCGCCAAGTGCGCGAAATGCAGGCGAGAGTGCGATTTGGATTTGTCCGGCGCAACCCTCTGCGGAGATCGTGCGCGTCGAGTGCGCGAAACGCAGGCGAGAGTGCGATTTGCGTCTGTCCGGCGCAACCCTCTGCGGAGATCGTGCGTGTCGAGTGCGCGAAATGCAGGCGAGAGTGCGTTTGGGGAGCTGGAAGATGAGAACTGGCGACTTTCTAGTACAACTGTAGTACGCGGAGTAGCTGGGGAGCTGGAAGATGAGAACTGGCGACTTCGTAGTACAACTTTAGTACGCGGAGCAAGCTGTGGAGCTGGAAGCTGAGAACTGACGACTTTGTAGTGCAACTTGAGTCCGCGGAGTATCTGGGGAGCGGAAGATGAGAACTGACGACTTTCTAGTACAACTTTAGTACTGGCGACTTTGTAGTACAACGTTAGTGCGCGGAGTATCTGGGGAGCTGGAAGATGAGAACTGGCGATTGTCTAGTACAACTTTAGTGCGCGGAGTAGCTGGGGAGCTGGAAGATGAGAACTGGCGACTTTGTAGTACAACTTTAGTACGCGGAGCTAGCTGTGGAGCTGGAAGCTGAGAACTGACGACTTTGTAGTACAACGTTAGTACGCGGAGTATCTGGGGAGCTGGAAGATGAGAACTGGTGACTTTGTAGTACAACTTTAGTACGCGGAGCAAGCGGTGGAACTGGAAGCTGAGAACTGACGACTTTGTAGTACAACTTGAGCGCGCGGATGAGTCATCTCTCGCGCTTCATTTGTGCTTCATTTGTGGAGGAAGTCTCGTACGAAACACCGCAGATCTCCCTCTCAACCCCCCACACTCCCACACATCGGGGTAGCTCGATCACACCTGCGCATCCACATAGTCACTCCTTCACATCCGCCCTCTCCTTCTTTCTTTATACATATCTTTTCTCTGAATAGTTTACATTGCGTCTAGAGGTCATGACTCTGGGACGTCAATTTGAACTATCGGCTTGCTCGGCGTTGCGTCCTTGGCGCAATCGACCCTATGTCTTGGAAGCGTTGTGGCGCCTGCGGAATGGCAGAGAGACTTTAGCGCAGCACACCGAGACTAATTTGTGTCGTGGGTCGTCCGTCGAGACTGTTCGGGACGAAACTGCGACATCATCGCTTCAACGACGGGGTCCGCGACTGTCGGAAAAAGGGACGTGACGTTGATATGTGTCTACTTCACCTGCGCGACAATCGATGCGCAGTTGGAACGCACGAGTCACTTGTCCTGATCGTAATGTCGTTCGCTCTCAGGTCGCAATGTTGGTGCTTTGAAGGGCCTATCCGCGAGAGTGGTGATGACAGTGATGACTTGAAGCACACTTACTGCGTACTTTCTCTGTGTCTGAGACTTGAAGTCAAACTGATTTGCTTTGAGCCTCTGCTCGCAGGATCTCTACTCGCCGCTTGATTTTGGGACCAGGATGAAGCGCACACAACTCCATTTTGTGTGCGCTTCGACCTGCTGACGGTTTACTTCGTTTTTGTCTTGAAATGAGACTGACTTGTCTTCAGCCGTTTGAAGAGCGACTGACTTCTGACGAACCTAAGATATATCTTTTCTCTCGCCTCTGTCCATTTACGTCTTCGCACGCTCGCATCCATACATCTACCTCTCCACCTCCATACATCTACACATCTGTCTGACACCTGCACATCCACACTGTCACTCCTTCACGTCCATCCTTTCTTTCTTTCTTTCTTTGTCGATGTCTTTTCCACAGTACTGGACAATCACATGTCTCGCTCTCGGGCCACCCGTCGTCTAGTTTGATAGGGTTTGCGTAAGGAAACCTAAGGCTTTTGGCTACCCAGAAGTTTTTGGGCATCTGATGGGAGCAGGACAAAGATAGGAGAAGTTAAAAGTAAAAGGGAAAGCGCAAGGCAAGGATATGCCAGCAGGGCTGCAGGCGGGTTGATAGGTGTAGGTCGGTTTATAATTGCAAGGGGGTAGGAGCCTAAAGGGGTACCCTTTGGAGATAGCATTTTTGTATTTGTTTGATAAGGTTTGCATAAGGAAACCCAAGGCTTTTGGCTAGCCAAAGTTTCTGGAAATCTGATGGGCAATGATCAAAAAAGAAAGGCGCAATAAAAGAACAACGCGAAAGGGAACAGGAGCAGGACAAAGACAGAAGGAAAACGCAAGGTAACTAACAAGCCAGCAGGGCTGCAGGGGGTTGAATGTTGTAGGTTGGTTGATAATTGCAAGGGGTAGGAGTCTAAAGGGGCACCCTTTGAAGATAATGTTTTTTGTATTTGCTTGATAGGGTTTGCATGGGCTTGCGTAAAGAAACCCAAGGCTTTTTGGCTAGCCAAAGGTCTTGGAAATCTGGTTGGCAAAGATAGAAACGAACGATGCAACAGAAGAACAAAAAAGAAAAGGGGCGGGAGCAGGACAAAGATAGGAGAAATTAAAAGTAACACGCAAGGCTGGAGGGGTGTTGATTATTGTAGGTTGGCTTTGTATGTGCAGGGGGTGGGAGCCTAATGGGGTGCCCTTTGAAGATAAGTTTTGTATTTGTTTGATAGGGCTTGCGTCAGGAGACCCAAGGCTTTTTGCTTGCTAAAGTTTTTGGAAATCTGATGGGCAAGATCCAAGCAAAAAGGTAAAAAAGAACAAAAAACAGGAACTGGAGCAGGACAAAAAAACAGGCAAAACTACTAGTTAAAAGTAGACGGGAAAGCGCAAGGCAAGGATAAACCAACAGGGCTGCAGGGGGGTTGATAGTTGTAGGTTGGTTTATAATTTCGAGGGGTAGAGGAGTCTAAAGGGCGCCCTTTGAAGATAGATTTCTTGTATTTGCTTGATAGGGTTTGCGTAGGGGACCCTAAGGTTTTTGGCTAGCGAAAGTTTTTGGGCATCTGATTGGCAATGACAAAAAAGATCCCACTAAGAACAACAAGAAAAGGGAAATCAATTAACAGAGGAAGCATTCTGAAGGCAAGTTGGGATCTGAAAGGAACAACTTATTACTATTGTCTCATGTTTATAATTGATTCGCAATTTTCCCCTAACAGTGTGGTCACACTAAGGGGTTCTTACGGTAGTGGTTAAGGATATTTCGTTGCTATTTGCAGTGCGTTCACGCCTCTCGAACTCCTCGAAATGGATTTCGACTGCGCAGGCTCACAGAATCTGGCGGGGCGCGGCGGGCGCTCTCGTTGCGGGCCGCGCGCATTCTCGGGCATGGTGGTCACTTTTCGTGGCGGGCGCAAGGGAAACCTCGTGTTTTGGCGGTCCAAAGTCGACTTGTACTTCGTGACAAGTGGAAGTGATCGGAGCGGTTGTGCTTCCAAGTGCAGACTTCGTGGCAGGCGCAGCGCTTTGGATATGGTGGTGATCTTGCGCGCCCTCTCGTTTCGTGACAGGCACGCTGAATCGTGACTTTTGTACATGCGGTTCGTTTTCAGAAACCGTAGCAGGCGCAGTATACTTTGTGGACCTCGAAGTGCAGATTTCGTGGCAGGCGCAGTACTTAGCGGGCTTTGAAGTGCAGATTTCGTGGCAGGCGCAGTACTTTGTGGACCTTGAAGTGCAGATTTCGTGGCAGGCGCAGCGCTTTGTGAACCTCTAAGTGCAGATTTCGTGGCAGGCGCACAGGTGTGAAGGACTTTGTGGACCTTGAAGCGCAGATATCGTGGCAGGCGCAGCGCTTTGTGAACCTCGAAGCGCAGATTTCGTAGCAGGCGCAGCACTTTGTGAACCTCGACGTGCACATTTCGTGGCAGACGTAGCGCTTTGTGACTCTGCCTCTGAATTTGACTCTCACTTTCACTGTCTTTCTCACTCTCATTCTCACTCACCCTGACTCACTCTCACTCACACTCTCACTCACTCTCCAATTCACTCACTCATCGCCACCATCACCGCCATCATCACCACGATCTCCACCTTCATCACCACCATCACCCCCCCAATGCGTCTAGATCTCTAGACTTTCTGCTGCTACACCTCTACACGCACTGTTTGGGGTCTCTTGCCGGGTATTTTTTGAATTGATTTTGGGGTCTGGATGTTGGCCGTTGGCCCAGTAAAAAGTATATTGCAAAATCCCGGCAGGCGAAAAAGGTTGATTGTTGTTGACACATGGTTTATACGCGCTAATTTAATTCAACATTACAAATGTTTTCCTTGTAGCCTTGGGCATATATAGTATAGTATGGCGCGCGCGCAGAATCGTGCAATTTTCGCATACTTTTGCGAATATCTGTGGAGCCCTTAAGCTATCAGCTCCGATCTGTCAGTGCGTGAAACTTTGAGGCGTAAACTTCTTTGGTCTGATCCTGAGCGCCAAATGCAACCACCAAGACGACTCAGCGGTGAACGAGGCTCAAATCGCCTCGAGGCAAGCCACCCAGTTGGGTTTTCTTCGGGGCGCAGAGCGGCCATTGATGCTCCGCCCAGCCTTGGATATGGTTGAGTCGTTGCCCTCTGCCACTTGTTGTTGCTCTGAGAAGAAGGCCCCATGCTGCATCATGCGCAAGGCGCCAACCCGCATGCCAGCAAGGTCCTCTTCATCCTGGCGCAAAACTCGGCCCCGCGACGTGAATCAACGCCTTGACATCATTGACTGTCCTGGGGGCAGGCAGCAGCGCTGGACGCGCTGCCTTGGCGACGCCTCAGACTTGAAGCTATGGCGTGCAACTCATCTCTTGCAACCTGGTTTGCAACCTCAGGACTAGGCTGGGCAAGGAAACCTTCGCCTGCATCACAGCGCCGCGCAACGAGGAACTTGTTTTATAGTCCTGAAGTAGATGGAACCTGTTTTTCCACAACTGCGAAGCTTAGGGTTCTTCCGCCATAGAAAAAACATGAAAAACTCTGGCGCAAATCGGGGCTGGTGCCGGAGCAGGTTCCGCGGAGCAAGTTCCGGAGCAAGCGTCCTCCTTTTGGCGCTCGCTGCAATGCCTTCTTCTCAGAAACTCCTTTGACTTCGCGATTGCAATCCCTGGGGCGGCAAAGGAAAGAAAACAAGCAGACTGTGACATCCCATTGCGCTGACTCTTCTTCCTTCTTCGCTTGCGGCCGGCTTGCCCCTCAGGCTCCAACCGCCAGCGTAGAAAACATCACGCCTCTCTCGACGACGTGAGATGGCGGCTCTTTGCAGCCATCTTCGAGCCCACGCCACATCCCAGATCCCGGAGCCCACCTGATTGTCTTGAGCCCGCTCTTGATCTCGGAGAGGTATCTCTCCAGGCTGACACCTCTCCAGTTCTTTGCCAACTCAAGTACTTCGGCTTCGCGTTCACCTATATCCTCACGGAGACGCGCGACAAGTACACCAACATCGCCAAAGAGGTGCTGTCACACAACTAACCGTCGTGCATGGATGGCACGCTTCCGCTTCAAGGACCGACAGCGATCACCCCAAAATCCTTCCACCTTCACTGGGCCTATGGACTTGATTTCTGGTATGTAGCTGCGGACGAGGCTCGTTCTTCGTCAGGCCCTGAGCTGGGTGGGCCTGAAGGCACTTCGGGCTCTCTGCGGGATGATGTTGGCTTCTCCATGTGGCATATAGTCCGGGTTCAAAGTGCATGATGTCGGCTTTAGGACTTGCGCCATTTATTTACCATGTTTTCAGCGGTTGAGATCCATGCAAAACCCATAGTATAGATGGCGCAAGGCTTCTAGGTCAGTCCCTCCCCATTCCTGCATTCTACTTTCATTGAGCTTGTTAGTGGACTTTCTAAGTCTGGCGGCTTTCCTCCACTCCAGTACTGTCTGGGCTTGTGACTTGTTTTTTCTCAGTCTTTCAATCCCGCCATCTTTCCTGCACGCTGGTATCATCTGGGCTTGTTGGGGCTTTGTCAGTCTTGGGAGAGACTTGCGCCATCCATTCAGGGTTTTGCAATTTTGCTCCCGAACTTTTTAAAGTCTCTTCTGTACAGCATCATTACAAAATTCACACTCCGCCACAGGTTTGTCTACCTCCACAGCCTTTATAGATGGCGCAAGGCCACAGTGAAAAAGGGCGTGAATGGTGTGATTTCATCGCGGTTTTTTGGTGGCCTTTCCGGCGCCATCTACCCTGAAATCTCCCAAGCAGCCGAAGCCGTCTACTTTTAACCCGGTGTATATATATATATATGCATGTGGAGTAGGAGACACACCAACTCTCACGTAACGGTGTGGACGTACCATATGGTGAAAGAGCGGAGCCATTTCCAATACCTCATCCATACACGGCGCGCGTGCGGTGAGGCAGGAACGGACTTCTGTTCTCTGCGCGAACCCCTGACTCCTTCCCTCTGCCACGGATCAGCCTCCTCCAACGGGACCGCCTCAGCGCCAGCTTCCAAGGGCATGGCTGCAGCAGCCGCCACAGGCACCTCCACCATGGGGCCATCGGCCATGGCTCACCCTAACCCCTCAAGCTCCGCTACTAACGTGGGTCAGCGGGGACGACGCTCCTTTAAGCCAGTTCAAGGGAACACTAGAACGGCCACCAAAAGCGCAACAAATACATGAATGCGATTCAATGCATAAACATCCACGCAAGGAACTTGAAAGGTTTTCAATTGGACACCTGTCACATATTCTTGAAGTGAATTTGAAAAGGAATCTATACATAAAACAGTTGACAGGAAGTGAGCCGCGTATATTCAAGTAGTTGACCCTGAGCAGCATATTCCATCTGATCCACTTTGAGTTTGAAAGCGCATGTGGAATTGTCGGGTTAGTCTAGCTAACTAAACGCAAAAATGACGGCAAAGCAAACATGGGAATCGTGCATATTTTGGAAGAACAGTTTGGAGTTTCATATGGTCTTTTTGCGGAAAACACCTGGCGCGTTCAATTCTTTTCTATACAGTATAACTACGACGCTGAAGTCGCTGGTCTCTGTGCCGTGCAACTAGTTCAACTTGGAAAATACATTGGGAAGACGACGAGCCAACGAGGCAGTAAACAATGTAGGACACTTAGGATTTGCGCAATCAAGTAAGTGTAGGCTGACCGCCTGACGGACTTTTGTCCGTAGAAAAGCTCCTTGAATTGTTTTGACCTGACATGGCTGCGCTGCAAAGCAAAGATTTCGTTGAACCAAGCACTGGTTGGGATCACAAGCTGCTCGGTTTATGGGCGCTCGCAGTATGTGGGAGGAACCGAGAAGCCTGCCTCAGGATTGGTTTCGCAGTTTGGAGTGGGTCTGGGCTTTCAATCAGAAGCCTTAGCCCAAGACCAATGAACACCTGGAACTCGTAGCGCATCATTATTGCTGCATGTGGCTGTCTGCCGCTCCATCGATACAACAACTGTTGCAAGTGTACACCGAAATGCTAGGCTGACCTAAAGCCTGGCTGTAAATTGTTGAAGACGTTTGATGCCTTCACGACCAATGCGTGCACAACTTTGGCACTTGACCAAAAGCAATGGTTGAATTGCTGTTAAATGTTTTGTTTTCCCATGTTGATCAGTGTCATTTGGTATCACCTACAGAAGTTGCCACCAAATTGCATGATTTGCATTGGCATGCAAAAATAATCTGTCTGCTCTGAAAGCCCACGCAGCAGCGAAGGAGTCATGCTCCCAAAGCAATTGCAAGCTTGCGTGAAGCCCTATGATGTTTGGGCAGGGACAGGGCCTGACAGGGTGGCAAAGAAGCCTTGGTCTTTCTGCTTGGTGCAACCGAGCATGCGTGACATGCAGGCTTCATTTCATTTGGAATCGATCACAGTTCCCTGCCCTTTGAGGACAAACCAGGACAAATGACAGCTAGCCTAGCCATGCAGCAGTTGTGAAACAAAGTCCGCAAAGGCGGGTATCCGTCGCGCCTCGGACAGCAACCAACTTGAAGCCAAAATTACCAAGTGTCCTTCGCAACTGTTCTTTAAAGGGAAGGGCTCTTTGCACTTGCAGCTCAGCACGTTCTTTACTTGCCAGAAACGCCTCGAACTCATAAAGAAACACGGCAGTGTGTGCACAGCGTGCACCAATGTGAAGTGAAGAAACGCTTTAAAGCAGGATTTCAACCCTCAAATCCTGACTTGCCCAGTCGCACAAATGGTGGGTAAGGCCTTGTCTGTTCTCAGAATAGCCTCCTCCACCAGCAAAAGCCAAACGCTCCTGGGCCTGAACTGCTGGCGGTCAATGGTACAGATTTGACAGTACCAACAACATGAAAAATCACCCTCTCAAACTTTGCCTCCAGGAATGTGCGACGACACGCAGCAACCTGTCAGGTGACGTGTTTTTTAACAAATAACAAAAATCTGATGGTTTTTATAACATTTTTTGCACCAAAGCAAAATGCGACGTGTCGACAAGCGCTTTGATCCGTCGACCGCCCGGTTTTGCGACGTTGACGGGAATGTGCTGGATCAATATTTCAGGGGCGACAAACCAGAAGTTTCACAAAGAGGCAGCTCTGCTTCTTTGTGGCGGCATCCTGGCTCTAACTGTTTTGCCAGCTCAGTGCGGCAGGATAACAAATCCTTCGGTGTTTGACCCTTTTAGTGGGCATCCTAGCAGGAGGATGTTTACAGACTTTGACAACAAACTTCGACGGCTTCGACGCAACTCTGGCAGGAATTTGCACAAAACACGGCGACGGATTTTCAAGCATTTTTCATTGATGTTGACGGAGCCGAGGTTGGACGATTTAGCGCGCGAAAGAAGGCAGCCAAGCCACAAGCACAGGTTGACAACATCTACGTCTAAAACATGCATCCTCTTTAAGTGTTCGTGATTCAAGCATGCTGAAGTGTGGTTTTGTGTTGTTTGGTAGCTTGGCTTGCATCGCTTGGATAACGTCTATATAACGCCGTAAGACTGCCCGCTTTTCAGGCTTCCCCTCTCAATAACGTAGCGCAGAAGGACCTACGCAAAGGTTTAGCAAGGTCCGTCGTGCACCAACCGCGCTCACCGCACGCTTCCTCTTGAAGTGCTGAAAGCTCGAGCCCCGCCCTTACGGGGAACAGGAAACATGTCAAAAAGGTCATGATGCACCCCAGTCCGTTAGCCATTCGGGTGTGGATAGCTCGGAGGTTTCTTTCCAGCGCCCCATGGCCAGTTGAAGTTGAGACGCTTGGCCATCTTCGGCGTAGACCTCCTGCATCTCGGCTTCTGCTCCAATTGCCCGACTTTTCGTCCGGCCTCGAACTTCTCGTCGCGCACAAGGCCAGAAGTGCTTCTGGAGGAAGAGCTGGAGCAAGGTCTTCTTGGCCCCGCTCTTTGTGAGCGAGCTGCCCAGTTGGTGAAGCTCGTTCATCCACCTCAGCTGCGTCTGTTCAGCGCTTGGTTGACCGCAGGGTCAGCTCGCAGCCTGCGCGGCTATCTCTTAACCCATGGAGCGCAAAGAGGTTCCTCGTCGCATCGTCGAGTGCTCCTGGGACTACGCCGTGCCGTCTCACGCAGCTTGCCGCCAAACCCGGCCTTCGTGGCCCTGATCTGAGCCCCCTGCATGGCCCTCGCCGATGGTGACGCTCTGAACCTCGGCGTCATTGGACCCAAGACTCAAAACATTGTCGCGGCGTTTTGAAATTCTTCTATATACTGCACCACCGAGAGCTCACACTCATCTCCAGTCAGCGCCTCTTTCACAGTCACACGCCGTGATGATGCCCACTGTTGATCTCGCTGAGCAGCAGGGACGTCTCCGCCAAAAACTGTGGCGCTGGCTGCGTTGCCTGTCAGGACATCGCGCCAAGCGCCGCCCTCATCTGAGAAATCTCGTGTGGGGCCAACGGTGTCTTGCGCCTGGGTCTTGTCGATCTGGATCTCCTCAATCCACCGCAAGGTGTAGGTCTCCTGGCTCAGGATGATTGAGCGGTCTTCACAATCGCTTCACGGCGGTGGATCCTGCAAACTCGAATGCGTCGGTGCTCCATCGGCGCCAGCGGAAAGCGTCATATTGAGCAGTTCTCCCTTGTCTGGATGGGAGAAGGGCGACGTCTCATCACCGGCCAGCAGAAAATCAGGGCTCAAAAAAGCGAAAGCAGCGTTGGTCGCAATTGCTACCATTGAGCATCAACCGTGGTCCCCACCACTTGCGAGGAGCGTGACATAGCGGCGTGAGTAAATCATCACTGAGCTCCGGTTGGAGCCAGCACATTCAACTCCTCGTCCCCCAGGCTGGTGCCAGTCTGCGAAAAGGCACGCGTCACCGCGCTCGTGGTTGCGGTTCTTGGCGAAGTCATTCTCGTCGAGTTTTAAGGATCCAGAAATAGGATTTTTTCCTTCTATCCGGGGTTGCTGTTTGCAACCGGGGTTGCTGAAGACACTGACTCTGACACGCGCTACTATGCCACTGAAAACAAGCGCTTGTTGCCAAGCAAGCGCTCTGTCAATGTCAAGCGTTGTTACTATGCCACTTGCTGCCACTGTGACAATCATAGCAGTTCCTATGCCGCTTGTTGCCAAGCAAGCGCTCGTTTCTATGCCGCTTGCTGTCTGTGACAATCGAATCATAGGTCCTGTGCCTCCATTTATTTATACTCGATCTTATGCCCGCGCTGGAGACAGTGCCGGAGGATATTTATATTTTCGCCGGATGAAGAGAACACGCTTCATGATATCACTGTCACATCTATTTTTTTTGACACAGTCCTCCTCTTGAGTTTCTGTTTCATTTCGGTATTTAGACTTCGCGCGTCCGGAGAGTGACACAGAGGGCACGAACAGTAAGAGCTACGAAAGCCATGCCTTTTCGACGGAGCATCGCAAGTCTGTCAGATGACCCGCCAGTGCCCGGCTCCAAGCTGTTGTGTGCAAACGGAGATAGCCATCAAAAAGTAAATATCAAAACTAATGATTGGAATTTTTCGATTTCAACCTGTAAGGCCCTCATTGCCGTCTGGCAGAATGCTGCCAGTGAAGAAAAACAAATTGAAAAAAAGGGAGCCAAGGCGCAATAATATTATTTGACGGAGTGCAAGCGTTACCTCCGATTCCAAACGACAAGTCAGACGTTTGGAGTTATTTTTTGAATGAGGTTGAATGTTTTCAACTGCCAGGCTGATGCATGCACACTGTCTGCATCCAAGCGTCTGCCAAATTACGGATACGTGCTGCCATTCCATTTCAGCAGTGTCATGTGGAAGTTCGATCCTGGAGTGGTTGGTGGTACAGCTCCCGACTGCGGTCCTTTGAACATGAGACTAGATTCTTGGGCACAAACTAGATTCCCGACGGCGTGTAACGTTTTGCTTTGAAGTCTCAGTTTCTGCCAACAAAAACCGTCTAAGATCATAGCCGCCGTGTCAGGTTCCGCCGACCAAACAATGTCCCAGAGGAAGGCGCCCAAAGCTGCAGATGAAACCTATCATCCGGAATGCCTTCGGAACAATTCGTTGCTTCTTTTGAAAGACAAAGAGGTAGAGAGAGAGAGAGAATCGCCTACTAGTTTATCTTGAAC